GTTTTCTGAGAAACCGTTGTACAACTCAAAGCATGACATTGCATTTTGGTAAGTAGCCAATACCCGCTCAAGGCCTACCCTTCCTACCTGCTTTCTCGCTGCTTCAAGTGTTTCACATTCATTATCTGGTTGATGTCGAAACCTTCAGGGCTTCTCATCCGTCTTGGCCAAACGGCGACGCATTGCTCTTGACCCTGCAGATGAAAGTGGAACGCAGTTTCAACAACATGATGTGTTTGGTGGCAGCAGAGTTCGCTCAGAGGTGTTCGGACAACCTTTCGGCTATTTTCAAAAACAAAGCTTATGAGATTTAACAATTATGTAACAGAATAAAACACAAAGACATATATATGTAGCCTGGAAATCTATAACCGTAGTGAATTTTGTCAAAAGACGTTTGCTTTTTAGATGTCAGACTGTTTTTCGATGTCTTTGGTTTGACTTTCCAGACTAAAGACGGCCTGGTCAGGTGCACTGAGCTCGTTTGGCTGCATTCATTCAGCATGTTCCCAAACACGGTTTACAGGGGTGGAAATAAATATTTAATCCCCTGCTTATTTTCCAAGTTTGCTCTCTTACAAGCAAAGGCAGAGAACTTTTACATTTCACAGTGTGTCTCGTCGCTGGGTTTTGGTTTTTCTTTGTGTGGATACAGTTTTCTTTTTTGGGGTTATTTATGTTCTTATGTCTGGTTATATCCTATTTATTTTATTGTTTTTAGGTTTTGTCAGATTAGCTTGATCCTGTGTCCTGAGTATAAAAAATAAAATAAATTAATTCAGCTGACAGAAATTGCCAGCTTTATTTTGAAAGGACAATATAATTACTTTTAATGCCACTGTAGGGTCCATCATTAATCTGGAGCCTACTTTTATGCAATAATGTCACATAAAGACTCATATTTTTTAAGATCACTTGTTTATTTTGAAAGCCCAACTTACTCCCCCATTTTGAACCTGTTTTAAAAACTAATCTTTTAGTAATCTTGTGTGTTATTAATTCAAGTGACAAAAACGTAACTAGTCATGAACTCAGAGTTATTCTCAGCAGGTTTTATCACACAACCTGTGTATAAGTTGTGTGTTATTCAGGGACGCACTGGATAAATCACCTTAATCAAAGCCAACTGAATGAATCTTTGAGATATTTTGGGCCATATTGTTATGTGCAATAATATTCATCATCCAGTGAGTCACGATTGAAATTAGCATGCTAAATGAAACAAATATTGTGCATCATCTTCATTTTGCCCATGAATCGCAGAAGTGGGAGTGTAACCTTGAAACATCAGATAAACTCCAAACGTTGCTTTGCAGCATAAGGCTTTGTGTCGCCACACCGAGCGCTGACCTGTTTCTTGTGCCGTCGTCAGTGTGGGTTATGATATGTAACAACACACGACAGGCGAACGTTGGGAAAGTCCAACGTGTGCCGCAACCAATTACACATCGCCCAGAAAAATCTTGTGGACTCAGCAGCTGCGGATGACAGCGTTTTTATCTCTTCTGCGTGCAGAGCCCGAGACGGCGTTTGATATCGTTTTGAACATCTTTCCTCACACAGGTTGTCTCCTACAGCTGCATCCTTATTTATCTGTTCCTTCCTATTTGCACAGGTATATTCGTGTCTCCTGTGTCAGTCCAGGGAAACTTTTATCGCCATCCTTCATGGTTGTTCTCTGTGAAATGGGCCTTCTCTTTCTCGTCTATGCACTTCCAACTCTACGCCTTACCATTTCCCTTCCTGGGAAAAGGTAAGTCTGTCTTTTTGTCTTTGCTCCTGGTTTGACGCTCCCCTGCGTAAGCTGCAGAACATCTCAGCATCACAATGAGCGGAATGATTTATCTGAATTAGTTCACTTTAGGCACATAAACACTTCAATTAACGAGCCATCTTTTTTCAGTTGCTTCTTAACACAATCAGTGTCTTATTCTATTACATGATAGCAAATAAATTCATGAAGCCATGCAGACTTCCAGAAGTACAAACGTGGAAAAAAATGGATTAAGTCATTTTGAACTGGTGCCTGGCTAATTACTCTGAGTATTTCAAAAACTGCTGGGATTTGCTTCATGCACATTCATCTCTCATGTTTACAGAGAATGGTTCAAAATAGAGTAAAAATCTAGAGAGCTGGGAATATTAGTGACAAAAGTACAGAAAATAAATAAACATATTCAGATTGGCTTAACTCTCTGAGATGATTGTTATTCTTGCCGTCATTTGTTTCAGCTTCAGCACTCAGGTTACTGTCCGTCATCCTTCGTGGATCATCATGGATATTCTGGCCCAAACATCCATGGTTTAAGTCCTTGCAGGATGAATTCTTCCTCTGCCTGCAGTGTTTTTCTCAAGGACAAGGTCCATCTGACTGGATAAAACTGTTTTACACTCTCAGTCGTCAATAAAACTCTCAAATCCCCTGAAACTCAAATGTTTGTGTAAGACCTCTTTGTTTACAATTATTTTGGCCATCTTTCAACCTCCTATGTCATCAGGTCAAGTGGAAGTTCACTATGCAGAGATGTCAGATGGTTTTGTTTCTTGCCTTCGTTTCATTATGTTATGTCATAATTTTGGTATCCGGTTGCATTAAAAGAATAATTATTTTACAGTGATTGAAAAGGAAATGCATCTCTGGCCATTTAGTTTAAGAAATTCACTGGCATTTAGGGAATATATATATTTATTTAATATATACATTTACAAACATAGTACCCAAAAAGTGTCAAATTTCCACCAATTCAGTGTTTGGGAAGTACTTCTATGTTCTGCATTATCCATACAGGTTGCCTACAGTACAGTAAAATATTTATGATTTTATTTGTTTTGGTTTGCACAATGAGCTACTGATGATTTTCTCAATCGTAGTTCCTTCAAGAATTTAAACCTACTTTCGCCCCTATGTAAGAACATATTAAACATGAGAAGCCTTGTTTTACGTTGATGCAACTTTTAATAAAGTTTTATTTAAAGTTTTATTTGTATGTCTTCCAGTGACAGAGAGCAGCTTTGATGGTAACCAGCGCAGCGGCCCTCAGGCGCAGAGAGGTCCTCTCTGCTTTATTTCACTGCCTCCCCTGACTGGGAAGTATGTACACACTTTGATATGTGTGTGCAGAAAAAAGGTAAGTCCTCCTCTCGGGGCGTTTTTGCCTAATACGTCCATGCAGTGCTGGCTGGAGAGCTGTGTGCAGAGGCACAAAGATCAGGGCTATTCTGGTCCCGCCAGCCTGCCCAGTGCTGATAGGAAAGGATTAATGAGGCGGGGCACTCATCGCTTGTAATTAGAAACAACACTAAAACTATTTTTGAGCTTGTTCCTAAGGAGAGACCCTGACCTCTAGGCCACCCCCCTCATATACACCCTCAGTACCTCGCTAGCCATGAGGCAACGGACGCCTGCAAAGGTGGAGTAAATATAGTCTCATAACTAGAGCAGTTATGTGACACATGGCTGAATGGAGGCAAGTGTTGATAATTAGCAACTTTGGCTGCCTACGCTACATGCTCAAATGTCAAAATGCTCACAGGCTCGGTCTTAAAATAAACGCTGCAATGTCTTTATTGTTGTGAAGTCTGATATTTCTGGGAGAGTCTGATTCTGGGTACTGCGTTCGAGCCAAAAACACAAAAACACTTCCATATTTTTTTTGTTATTTTTACATTTAAATGTATCATCAACACATTTTCTTCATTAAAAAAGATGATTGAAGTTTTACTTTTATTTTTTTGTTAGCATCCCATTAATTTTGACCTCAGAAGCACTAATCTTCTTCTATCCCTTGTAAATCTTTTTATTATTATTGTTTTATTGGATGTTGTTTTTGCTCACTGAGGTAAAAAAAAAAAAAAGTTTTAAAACATTTTTTCAGTCTTGGCAAAGCAAGCTGTCAGGAAAGAAACGGGAACTGCGTTTAAAACAGGCCTCCAGGACACCAAACCAAATTTGAAGCTTCCATCTTTATTTCAAAGCTCACAAGTAGGGATTACAAAATTACAGTGCTTGAGTTGCAACAGTTCAAGGAGGAGAGATGACAGACCAGTTGAGGAATTTTGAGCAAGTCATGCAAAAAGGTGTGGGAGAAGGCCTCCAGTATAGTAGCACCCTTTGTGGAAAAAAATAAACCCATTTCTCAGTAAGTCAGTGCAAAAATAGTAATGAATATATGCATACAAAGAAAATAGATATATTTATATATATATTTATGTATTCATATACTGTAAATACTTGACTGTAGACTACAGACACAGAGAAATATACAGTGACTCTTAAGAGCAAAGCCCAAATCCACCAGAGCGTCCAAGCCCAAAGCAGAAACTCTTGAACAAGTCCGAGTCGAAAAGAGGCCGCGTCGAACGTGACGGCTCGATGTCGTCCTAATTCAGAACCTTGTTTCCAAACGAACGGGAGCGGATGCCTTTTTGGAGCCGTCAGTGAGGACGTGACCTCCACAGAAAGAACGGCGTATGAAAGACGAAGAGCACCATTACGACCCTCAGAGAGCAGAAGCACACAGCACGCTTCCTCTCCAGTAAGGGAGGAAAGTCCGATTTTTCAGTCAGAGATCAATTGAACAAAATAAAAAATAAAAATAAAAAAAAAGCCGTTTGCTACTGAAAGTTGCAGGAACCAGCAGGTTCAATGAAAACATCCTTGTATCTCGTTTTGTGCCAGCTCAGACATTTTGTATGCCATCTATTTTTTTTTTTTAAGCACAGATGCATAAGATGCATGTCCTCTAAATGGTTATTAGCATATATGGTGTTTATAAACTCAGATTCATTGTGGAGCACCAGTAGACAAGTGATGACAGCAACAAAAACAAGACAGACTTGATTATTTTTTTTCCCTTTTACAAAGAAAATCCAAATCTCCCAACTGATAGTTGGAAACATCCTGTGACGATTTCATTTTGCATAGCATGATTTTTCACGAGGGATTATTTTTTTGTTGCAGTTCTCTGTCTCGAAGCCATCTTGAACAGACATCACGTACTTGTACAATCTTTCTTCCTGCTCACAAACAACAGATGATCTTTTCTAAACTATTGGATTCAATTGGATGTAATGGATGATGCAGTGGGTGGATTGCAAAACAGATGATGGTTTTGGCACCTTGTCAAAGTTATTGTTAGCCCTGTGCTTCATTTTATGCCTTGCTGTGGACGACTGACGGACATAAACAGAGTAGGGACAGCGTACGAAGAGGCTGCTTCAGTTCAGCTTTGGAGTCGCTCTAAAATGAAGATTTTTTTTGTTTCTCTCTCACCTAAGAGGAAAAACTACTCCTGATGTTTTGGAAAGCTTGGGCCTGAACAGAAAGGCTTCAGACAACTCGGATCATAAGTGTTTAAATGCTTGTTTTTTTGTTGTTTTTTTTAACAATACACACAGATTCCTTAAAAACATGTATAAAGTTTGTGCTCTGCTTTATGCAGACGTTGGAAATGGCATAAAGTTGGCCATTTACAGTACTGTCATTTGTGTCACAAGCCTATAATGTAATCTTGAATCAATAACTCAAAAAACAAAAGAAATAGAGCACGAAAGAAACTTTGGTTAGACTCTACAATGGCATTTAATCTCCCACCATGGATGTTGATTTCATTTGACAAAATTTCTTATAGGTTTCAACAGACCAGCTCTAATATGGTGGATTCAAACATCTTCTGCACGTTTGCACTATTCGAATGAAATATAGTAAATTAACATAACATCTAAGCAGTGCGGAGTAAAGTAGTTTTCTGCAAAGTGGATAATCGGTAATTCAGTACGTTTTCCTTTTCTCACAATAAATTGTTAGAATGATTTGGTGGTCCTAAGATGGCAATCTTTTCTAGCTTTGGAGGTTTTTATTATTTTTATACCTCTGTTACCTCACTGAGTGTAGCTGCAATATAAACCTTGTCCTGCTTTTTTCTTCACAACTTCAGTCATTTTACATTTTTTAATTGTTGTTCTCTTTGGCGCGGAGCAATTGCCTCATTTTAATTTCCCGACACAAAAAAAAACACACATATATGCCTTTCTTAAGTAGCATCTCCTCTCGTCTTAAAACACTAATCTATGTCGTATCTATGCACCTGTGCAGCAGAAAGCTGTGGACTTAAAACTAAAAGTTCCCAGACACTCTGATCAACTTAGAAAATGAGGAAAAAGCTGCATCGAATTTGCATTACTGACTTTTATTCAACTGGAATATTTATGGCTACCATTTGCTGTTGCAACTGAGTTTGTGATTACCCCAATTTTGTGTTGACACTGGATTTTTCCCTGCATAATAAAAGTATTAAAATTAAAAGCTGTGTTCTTTTAAATCATTTATGTAGTGGTATTTTGCCGCCACCACATAAAAGGAACTTGTCATAAAGTTTATTTATAAATTATTACAAGGAGAAGAAAATGTGGAAGGTTCTGTACATGTTTAATATGGATCAAAGGTGAGTGGGAGAAAAATAGAAAATGTTTGTACGTTTACCCCAAGTCCTGTTTAATATTAAATTGATGCTATTTCTCTCTTAAAAAAAAATAAATAAATAAAAAATAAAAAAATGCCACCACTAGTGGCTCAAAGTTACAATTAAATCTTCTAAAAAAAATTTATGTCGCTTTCGTTTTATCTTATTTGACCAGAAACATTGGCTCTACAAATTACCAAACTAAATTTGCATTAAGAAATAAGATGTTTGTTGTTATTTTTCCTAATATGACCTCAACTTTCTCTGAAAGTGATACCTTGGCAAAATGCAAACCAAAAAGAACCAAAAAGAAAATTATAAAATTATATTCCCTTATGTGACGTTCGTTCAGTTATTAGTGCTTTTTGTTTTTGCATGCCATCGTTTTCAACGCAGTTGAGTTAAGGCATCAGTAGAGGCACTGAAGCAGCAGCAGGCAGCTCAAAACAAATCCTCCCAAAGGTTACGCCGCTCTGCTGCACCACTGCTGTCACGATAAACTGAACTCCACAACAGGACATTTGTGTTTATTTGAAGCACACACCTCAACGTTGCTACCGTAGAACTTGGCTGAGTGATAGCTGGGAACGCGGGGCATTGCCAAGAATATTGGATGCGAGTGGACAGAGACGGCGCACGGTGAGGTACAGTGCAACAGAGCCGGCTAATGGATGAAGTGGAGCAAAAACAAACAGAGGAGACAGAAGCAGGCAGTGAAAATCCTCCCTTGTGTTACATTAAACATCAGCAGTAGCCCTGTTTTATGATATTCCCCGATTATTTCAGCGCTCGTTCTCTCTCTCTCTCTCTCTTTCTCTCTCTCTCTCTCTTCTTTTTCTTCTTCTCCACCAGCAGCCATGCATAAAAAGAGCTCTTATGGCTGTCTGGTAGTATGCGTATTGCTAAAAATATACGCGGACGCACGAATGGCAAAACCAACACGCTGAAGCGAGCACACAAGATATGAAGTTATGCTTCAGCAAACAAAATCCCATAAGCTGCACTTAAAGTAAAACCTTTTTTTTTCTTCTTCTTCTTCTTTTCCTCCTTCTTCTTCTCTGGTTCTCGCACAGATCAGCGCCAAATCTTACAGCATTACTGTATGCACCATAAACACATATAGAGCTGAACAGTTGTTACATTATAATCAAAATGGTTCTTCAGCAAAGAGCTGGAAATATTTTTTTCTTGATCATTACCAATATATACACACATAAGATCAAGGTTGCATTCAGCGGAAATTATTGCACAGTAAGCCTTTGTTGGCTTGTCATGGTCATCCCCTTAAAATCCCAGTATAAAAATAGAACAACAAGATTAACACGCCAAACAAGTCCTTATCTTTTATCTTTTATTATTTTTTTTATATTTAGACAGGCACTGCTGTGGCAAACCCTGCCTGAGTCTGCAAACTGTGTGCCTCAGTCCCTTTTTATATGTAACTGCGCCAAAGCACAATTGATTTTCTTCCTCCCTCCTTCCCCACCTGATTCGCCGCCTCCTCCTGGCTTCGCCATCTCTCATCATCAACCAAGAGGTCGCGATCTCAAGAGACTCCAAGACGAAGTTGAGGAGGTTTTTAAATAAAATACACACACACACACACCGTCTCTCTTTGTCACCTCCAACCGGTTTGTACAGCAGCCAGAGTCACAGCAAAGAGCGTTGGGTCGAGCGGCTCGTCTAGACGACGGTTTCCACGCCGATCAGCTTCGGCGTGAGGATCCGTGGCGTTATTCCATTGTTGAGGTCCTCCTCGAACTCCAGCAGCTGGCCCATGAAGTTGAGGTTTGGCGAGATGATGGGCCTTTTGCTTTTCACAAACTTGTAGGCATCGGTCATAGTCATCCAGCTGTGCTTCATCAGGTAGGCGATCACGATGGTGGCAGATCGCGACACGCCCGCCTGGCAGTGGATCAGGAGGCCCATACCTGCTTGGTGTGCTTCCTCTGCAGAAAGGAAGAAGAAGATCTAAATATGGAAATACGGATGGTTTGTTCTCGAAGAGGAAGTTCAGTCATCCTGCTCGATAACACGTTACAACTTCCTTTATAGCCACGCGTAAGATTAGGGCCTTTTATCAAATGTCAACTCTTTCCCCATTGATAAGAATAGGAATCTAGAGAACTGCTTTTCTTTACTGCTCTTTAGTCACATTTTGAAGTTCTGCATTGAGAGTGACCACAGGAAAAATCAAAAAACTCCGTCTGTTTTGACCTTTAAAGAAATAATTGTATGCTTAATACTCAATAACGAAAAAACAAAATTAAAAATCTTGCATATTTAGGGATTAAAACATTTCTCTTGTACATAAACCACTAGTTTGCTTTGTCATCTATACTAAAGATAAATACTAAAGATAAATAATCATAAAAATGCTCAAACTACATGTGTAATGTAATGTATTTACACCATATTTCCATTTTGGCTCTAATCCCCATTTGGGCCAGTTAAGGTTTCTGAAGTATATTTATGATCCCCATCAAATTGTGTAAGCAGAAAACATTCATTTGGTGAGAACAAATGTACGCATGGTCGATACAAGTCTCTCACTGAAAACAATTCGTCTTATCCAATAAAAATGCAAAATAGTGAAAAAGAAAACTGCAAATGTAAGGCAGAAGAAAGAAGAAATGTATTTTGGTTAACTGCATACTTGTGCTTTTGATCCAAAACTGATTGTGTGAAGCATTTTTTTTTCATGCATTAAAAATATTTCAAACTATATTTTACACCACAGTATCATTTTTTTCTTAAAGAAGCTGTCAAGCAGCTTGTCCTGTGTCAACTATAGTTATAAAACTGTAAACGTAATATAAGTTTTTTTTAGATTCCACATTTCAAACAGCCAAATTGGTATAAACCGGATTTAAAAACATAGTTTAGACTTCTTCCAGACAGCAACAGGTGGGGTAGGGGCCGAGCTGTGTTACTTGATATCCCATATACCTAAAGAACATTTAAAAAAAAACTTTTTTAAAACTGGTTTACCGGCTCATGCCTAATACTCTATAATTCACCTATTCTAAAGGCAATAATAGAGTAACTGCCTCAATATTTGTGTTGTTTTATATTTTCAAAGATGTGCTCTTGATGTTATTCTCAAATTCTCCAAACTATGAAAGCTGATCATCACACGATCAGCTTTCATCTACGTTTTTTTTTTTTTTTTTCAAGCTAACGAACATAATATCTTCAGGATTTTTTTTTTATTTTCACACAGGAAGTAGGAAGTAGCATAGCAAACAAAGACTTCTGTTGACACAACTGCTGCTGCGCTTATTTATTCTAATCTGTTATTGGAGAAGTACCTGATTTTCAGTGACATTTCAAATGTTACGGCATTGAAGTGTTGGAAATCACCTCATATCAAAACAACTGGAGGCGTTTCTCATGATCAGAAATAAAACAGAACGCTTTAAGTTCCTTACTGACTACATTTCAAATGCCAAAGAAACATTACATATGGTTTTCTGAGACTATTTTTTTCTTTTATCCTTTTCATGCCCTCATACTAGTTTTATTACAAATGATGGGAAGTAGTTAATTAAAAAGGAAACACGTTTTATTTTAGAGAAGTAAAATAAAAATCCGTTAGAGAAGCAGCCAACTGCACTGACTTCATCCATTATCTTGATTTAGCAACATTTATGTAGTTTTGCAGTTTCTAGGCTTAGACTGCAATCACCAACCAGTTTGAAACTGTTTCAAAGGCTATTTAAATATTTTGTCGTGTAATTCCTACTGTAGTGTGACACCAGAGCAAATCTAAGAGTAGCCAGAGTTTTCTCTGCTGCACCTGTAATTGCACACTGGTGGTCAGCTGGCTGAAAGAAGCTTACTACTTCTCATTTACAGGAGAGACAATTTAAACAGTTCGAATATGTTTTACTTCACAAAGAGAACAGGTAATTTTAAATGTTATGAAAGTAGCACCCTTTGTTAAATAAATGCAATTTGAAAATAAATAGAATTATATCTAAAATGACTTTGTTTCAAATGTATTGTGATTTTTTTCACACCAGGTAATGATACTGTGAAAACATTTAGACCTACGTAAACTGTGGAGCATGAATGAAAGAAACACACCATCTTTTTCCTGACGCCACAGGGAGTATTTACCAGATAATTCTTTGTGTCAACACAAACTGCGCTATTGATCCTCTGTAAACACACACACAAAAAAAAAAATCAGTACTGCTGCAACTATGAATCATCTCTGTGGCTCTGGTGTAAATTATGCATTTGGAGTAGTTTATTATTTAGCACCTCGGTGATATAAAGATGCTTGGTAACTAACGTGAAAACAGGATTTTACTTTTGAGAAAAACAGACTAACACGGGTGTTTTAGAGAGATTCAGGTAGTTTACTCAAAGGTTTGCAATTTTTTAGCTATTTACATCTGAGATAAAGTGCATGACAAGATGACAAAATGTCGTGGCTTCTGACCTTTTCAGATTGGCACGTCCTACGACAGCATTGTTCAATAGGGGGGTGACCTTTCAGATATGTAAGTGCTATTGTCACTTCCACCACCACCGCATAGCTGTCACACTATTTGATTTAAAATGTGCGCACACAATCCAGTATCTCAATAAATGCTTTGAAAAGCAAAAGCAAGACCAACAAGGCCCAAATATATCTACAAAATAGGTCTCAGGCAAGGATGTGCTACGTTGTTTTCATAAAAAAAGTAACAATTAAATGCTAGATTAAAGTTACAGCAGCTACATCCAGCAATGTGTAGGAGTGTGTGGCTAAAGGCACAATCCAGTGATGATTCACAACTTTTCCACCTTTAATTCTTTCCATTTTTAAAAAAAAGTAGGAGCAACAAAAAAGTAATTTTTTTGCGTTTGCACCCTCCCGGGTACATGCTTCTACTTAATCTGAGAATGTAAGCGGTTTAGTTTTTCAGTTTTAAGAACTTCCTACCGATGAACTCAAACGCCTCCTCGAAGTACTGCCGCAGGTTCTGCTTGTTGCTGTCGGTGGCCGGCAGGCGCTTGTAGTTGAACAGGCCGGTGTCGTAGTGGTAGAGAGGCAGGTGGGTGGTGACGTTGAGGATGTAGCCGATGTTCATGCGCTGCAGCAGGTGGAGGTCCTGAGCGTCGTGCTCGTTCCCCAGGTAGAGGAAGGGCAGGATGGGGGTGAGCTCTGCGTTCTCGATGTCCGGCGTGGAGGGCAGGGAGTGAGGTAGAGGCCCCGTCAGGCCGGCAGACGCGCCCGTTTCCAAACCCTCGTGGAGGTGCAGCGAGTGCTCGCACAGGTTTTCATGGCTCTGCCTGAAGCAGCTAAGGCCTCCTGACAACACAGAAACCAGTGCAGCCTTTTAATACGACAACTGGTTGATGCAATCACGTATAGGCGTAGCAGTGCAGCAGATTACAAAAATCAGATTCCTCTAACCCCAAAATTATTGATGTTAGGCTTAAGTCCAAATAAAAATAGTGTTAAAAAGTCAACATGTATTTACTGACTTAGGCATACTATTGGCAAAAACAGAAAAGCAAAAATAACAGAAGACCAAAGGTAAGCAGATGGTTCTCAATGCTATCTTTGGCTTTCCCTTCAAAAAAAAAAAAGAACAAAAATAGCTTCCCTAAAATGTAAAACTTGGGTTTTATTTTGCTTTCATAACCCAATGACATGAATTAGATAACCTTTTCATTTAAATGTATCCTGGTCATCCTATTGAATTTATTTCAACCTTTTCTTTATCTAAGCTAAGGCTCATAGTTTGAGCAATGCATTGAGCCAACACAGCATGGGTTGATGGTTAATTCCCCCAGGAAGAGTCCAAAGCTAAAAATACTTAGTCTGACCAACACATGGCTCAGGTTGTGACTAACACTATTAAACTTTGCATACATACTGTATCTGATGAAGTCCATCTTTGAAGCTACGCACATTTTAATTTGGTTCTAATTTGAATGCCTCAGTTTGGATTTGAACGTAAATTCAAAATTATCTTTGCAGTTAGCTTAACTCAACTCAGACAGCAGGAAAACAGGCACACTCAGGGTTAAACACTCTTCTGGGCATGTGCGCTTCTACAAAGAACCGGCTTGCACCTGTTTGCAACAGCGATGCCACAGGCCAAAGTTTCCCTTCGGCACTGTGAGGAGGGGGGGTCCAAGTATCAGTTTGAGCATTGTTCACAATGCGAGGGCTGACATCATGCCATGTGAGGCCATCTAAAACTCTCACCACTTCCCCAAGGGTGGGAAGCAGGTGGGAGTCTCCACTGAAAGTTGTTGTTTTCATGAAACAGATTGTTAATCATTGACAGGGACATTAGCCTAAGCACACAGCCAATCCCACACTGTCATATGGAAATAATTATATTTTGGTGAAGAGAGGGAAGTGATTATAGGAGATGTGACCAAACTAAAGTGACTTTAGAGAACAGGGACTTTTGACTTAGGCCGAAAGTATTTCCTCATTTGTTTCATTTTTAAAGTCTGAGCAGCGACAAAACCACAAGTTTCAATTATCCTTATGAAATTAATGTGACCTGATTCTTGTCTTTATCAAAACAACAAAGAGCATCCTTATGAAAATTTTAATTCTTAGAATTAAAGTAAAATAATAATGCAGCAGGCAACAAAAATGTATCTAATTGAGTAACAATATGTTTCCTTCAGAAAAAAAACCTCACATTTAGGAGTTAGCCTAAAATTAATATAGTTTTAAACTTAATCCTGTATAGTTAAATAAGCAGCTTATTTTCTATTTGGCATTTTCTTACATTTAGTCCTCCTTGGTCATCTTCCACTTCAGATTTTAAATAATCTAATTGGCAACTTAATTAGTTTGTATTTGTAAAACATTTTTTTAAAAAGTCACTCACATGTTTTTTATTAGTTTACACATGGTTATAGCACAATATGTAAATAATGAGATCAAAATTAAACAAGTAGTAGTATGAGTAAACATTGCAATTTCTTTTATTGAGATTACTTTTTTTTCTTTTTTAAATTTTTTTTTGTACTGGCTTTTGTAACTCACTCAGCGCAAAAGATATATCTGTTAAATGTAAATTTTTCTGGCAAACGAGTTGTAAAAAATCTCTTTCAGTTATCATCAGGGGGTAAATGTAATTTATTAACTAGCTATGAATAAACTGCATTTTTCTGCTGCTGCTTTGCGGTCAGGCTGTCCTGAAGTTGTCTTAACTGTTTCCTTGTTTTGTCTGAGGTCTATAATCATAAGTGAAAGCAAAACAATAAAGGTTTCAGGTACTTTCCTAACAGCTTATTGTGTTTCAGCAAGAGGTCATTTTCTTTTTTATTTATTTATACAATATAACATTCATCGTAACTTAACTTATTTCTCGTTGTCCACAAATGCTCCCAAAGAGAACTCTCAGAGGACGATAGCAAAAACCTTTGGTTAAATAAAATAGCTTGGCACAGGCGATCTACAAAAACACAATTTTTAGTAATTCTGGTAAAAATGTGCAGAAAAAATAAAAAAGAAACTCTCTAATATAAATTGCATTGCTGAGTTCCTAAACACTGTGATTAACTAAAATAAGTATAAATCACACACATTTTTACTTATGTTTGTGTTAAAAAAAAAGTGTTAGGTGAAATCTGAGGAGAAAAATAGCTATGCCAGTTGTTCTCTAGACAACTTTTATATTACTTAATTATCACTGAGACAAAATATGGCCGTAAACCACAGGCGGCTAGTAACACTGACGTTGGTATATGATTTGAAGATTCAAATACTCTTAAATAAGGAACTTTTTCCCTTTTTGAAGGAACATTTTTTATAAAATTTGACATTAATGTCGACATAAAGAAAACCATTTCCAAATCTTTTAGTATTATGGTGACTTTAGATTGAGACAATTAAGTTTTAAGTTCATGTTATGCTACCTTTTAACAAATAAAGATTTATTTGGGGCAGAAAGAGAGCACTTTATTGAATGTAGAGTGGCAGTTTAAGGTTCTTGCCCAGGGTGCCATCCACGCATGAACCACCACGGGTACTAATAGTTTTAATTACATTTTTATATAAATGTGACATTATGAAAAAAAGGAGTAAATATAATGGGGTTTTTTACACATCTTTAGTGTGTCAGTAAATACCAACAGTATACACATATTTCAAACTGCAAACATCGGCAGAAGCACTGTTGATGTAGAAAATTCTGACTTTAATTTTTGTGTTTATAGCTAGAAAGTTGAAGAGCAATCCATGATCTCTGGGGATCAACAATGTTAACCTCAAACTTATTTAAAGCCCAGGTTTATTTTAGGTTCCTCTAAAGACGTTAACCACGTGTAACAGCAACACCCATTTATCATCTATGTTATATTTGAAGCATGACAGCTGCATGTTTTGTTTTCATCAAAAGTAGCAGAAAATCCAGCTGGGACCAGATTATTCAGAAATATCCGCTGACAAGGGATGAAACCTCTCGAGCGTCGCCATCTCTCTGAAAACTGAAAACTCGAGACGCGTTTCTGCCTCTTGGCTGAGCCAGCAGCATCTTGGTTCCTGTCTAACCGTTTCTGCCTCTCACTGATCACCTGCTGTTTCTGAAGCTCAGCGACATCCTCCCAAAACAAGCAAGGAGCTGTTTATGGCTATTAAAGATGGATTCAACATAATCTATATCTGCTTTCAGCTGCAGGAGGAAAGGAAGCAGCCATGTTTACCTGTAAATCCTGACTATAATTTGGTGGTAACACAGCAAATAATGGGGTACGTGTAAATAAATCTGCAAACAGAAAAACTATTTATCATCATAACCTTTTGGTGAAATATAAGTCATTCTCTTGCACTGTGTTAGACTAGGATGTAATAAAACTAAATGAAAAGAAATGTAATATAAAAAAAGAGGCTTTAAGATGACTAGATGAATTTAAACCAGACGAAGAAAAAGTAAGACGGTCCGCCTGTTCCTCCCACTGAGCCAAGCTTCAGACAGACACCAGCGCAAGATGAGAAACTGGAGAGGAGCCTCGTTTCATCAAAGTCCACAGACGGACCGGAGGGGGGAGGAGCAGGGGAACAGGCATGAAGAGAAAGGATCAAGGTGCTCCGATCTAACAGCAACATGGTGACTGCGGGGCATTATAAAAAATAAAAAAAAACACTCCCAGCCAAGCCTCCGACGTGGCACACAGCTTCAAACACGCAGCACACCAAAGATAGAAAACATGGCAACAACCCAGAGACTGTCATCTCAGCAGATTGCCTTATTTACTAACAGCTGCTTCTCACCTCATGCAAAATGTAATGTTTGCCATAAAGAAGAGGCTAAAGAGGGTAAGCATGTGTTGATGAATGAAGAGGATGTAAACGCTCAGCATTATGCATATGCAGGGTAAAATGTTGCAGTTTCCCAACTGCATTTTTTCGCCCCCCCATCACACCATTCCTGTGGTTTAAAGTCCTTTTAATGAAATGAAAGCGTAGCACTCAGTACGGTTTTCTGTAATCGTATGAAGTGAAGAGCAGCACCGCACTCCCCGCTTCCCCGCTTGCAAGAAAAACAAATTTGAGACATTTCCAGTAAAAAACACAAAACGTCATTGTGTAGACATTAAAGGTGCTCCAGTTAAAGCAGCAAACTACATACTAACTACCCAAATTAACCATCTAAACTCTGCTTGTTGCACTTGTGTTGTACTTTAAACACACACAAAAGTTGGAAAAAAAGTGGCAGCAAGCCAAAGATGACCATCTCACTAAATTGCTTATTTTACTAACAGCTAAAAGGCCTAATATTTGTCATATAGAAAATGGCTGGTGAGGGCTGAAGTACGGTAATATCTGAAGGTGCTACCCATCACTTTTATTAATGCTATACTGTGAGTTCATAAGAGATGAGTAGTCGTCTGTAAAGCAGCCAACTGCAGGCTAGTTACTGGAGTTAGAACAAGAAAAGGTAAAATATTTTAAGAACTAAATGAATTAGTAATAGGTTTTGCTTTAATCTACGTATTAGAAAGCATAAGAATTACCATAAATAATAAACGTTTCAGATAGCATTATTATTACATTGTATAATTTTAGCAATCAGTTTCAAGTCATTTTCACAATTTCTTAAAAAATTAACCATTCTATGTATGATTCTGTTTTTGGTTGACAAAGCATTTTTTAACTGAACGCCAGAGGAAGTGACAGAGGGATTTGGTTTTCTCTTGCTCCACCTGTTGCTACACACTGCCGTTCAGCTGGCTAACAGAAGGCTACTTCTGTGCTTTTAGAGAACACCAACATTTTAGACGCCTAAAGTGTGGAAACTAAAGAAACTGCACGCACAAATTTAAATGCTTTTTAAAAAGTAGTTGGCAAGCAGTTAGATCATGATAGATGTTATTGTTTCTATCTGTGTTTCTGAGGAATTCAAGGTTATACCACTGGAATCGCATACTACCCGGTGCCTACGTGCTTAGCTTTGATAATTGGTGGAATGTCTGCTGAATGTGGTATTATAAATTGCTGTGAGTGTTGAGAGGAAGTACTGGGAAAGCAGAAAGATAAATGTCAGAGGTTACCAGACTGAGAGTCACCATTTGCACCTCTACTCTTTACCCCAAAGCTTTCCTATCCAAGTAATTCTTCCAAACAAACCAACTCCCAGGAAAGTGTGTTCCCTTTGTTGTGTCTTTCTTTTCTTATTATGTCTGACTTCTTGTTACCTTTGAGGACGATGGGGTCCTTGCCCTCCCTCCTCAGTGATTCCAGGACCACATGCAGAGGCTGCGCAGATGTCAGCCTGTTGGGGTCTGTGGTACTCTCGTCGTAAACCACAATCTCTTTGGAAAAAATGCCCATAAAGGAGTCCTTCCCCTCGCGGCAGGAGATGAGGTCCAGCACAGTAATCTTGCCCTGTTGCAGCCGGCGCCGACTGATCTTGTCGGAGCAGTTGATGTGCACAGCCCCGCGGATGTGGCTCTTGTTGTACTCCAAGAAGGGCCGGCAGTCGATGATGACGGGGACAGGCCCGATGGGGTGCCCCAGCGGGCAGCAGGTCATCCGCTTGGCCAGCTCATTGGGGTGGATGACCCTCAGGGAAGCTAGGGGCTTCAGCTGGCCCTGGGTGAGGCTGGGAGTGCTGAGCGCTTCATGTTTGCCGACCATCGGCGTGGGCGGCCCGGCATAGCTGAGGTTGGGGCTGCTGGCGCTCACCTGGCTGTGGCCGAGGCTCTGGCTGTCCTTCTCATAGGTAGTCACAGAACAGCAGCTGGCACTGCTGCATCCACACGACAACGAGCGCGTGGAGCCCTTGGATGAGGGCATATACGTCACAAGATTGGCCGTCGCCCGGATCTTCACCACGGTGGTGCTGATGACTGTGTCGCTGCTGCTGCTGCTGGTGACTGAGTCCAGGTAGCTGGTGTCCAGGCGCAGTTGGAGTTCCTGAGGTCGGATCGGCCTTGGCAGCGCCACCACAATTCTGTCGTCGAGGGGAGATGGAGGCATGGGGAGGCCGAGGGCTGGACGTCTACGGAGAACTCAACAAGCAGCTCTGCGAAGGCAGGGACAAGCCACATGAAAGACTCTGACAACTCAAACGCTTTACTGACAGATCAACATGCAAACTGCAATGCAATGTGAACAGTGGAGCCAAATATTAGCACTGTCAACACCTGCAGGGGCTACACCCAAGTTAGAAGGAAAATTTAGGAGTGACAGACTGACCACTAATAATAAACGGTGAGATCATCAGAGGGTATCCTGTAACTAAATCACTGTGGGAGCAGTTAACATGAATCATCCCCCAGATACTGTACATCACATATGTGTGTGATGTTGAATTTTTCATGCCAACTCTGCTCCCCGTCTGATCCAAAGCTTTTAGAACAAGAGACGAAAACACTGCATCAACGCCTTGCTGCAGCTTTGTCTCTCACCCAAATAGAAAGTCAGGGTAGGCTATCAGAGGGAAAAAAAGGGGATGGTAATTCATTTCTGATCAAAGGGGGTTTTAATAAGCATGTCCTCCTGGCATGTTATGTAAAGACGCCCGCCTAGAGCTGTGCTTGTCCCGAGCATTGCCTGTGCAGGTTCAGCAGAAAAGAAGCAGTGATCATTCATGACCAAATTCATTGAAGAAACCGGCAGGAGAACGTGCCGAGAATGTGATGAGGCAGAGATGAGGAGAGCTGCAGACTGAAGGAAATCCAATTTCACAGCAGCATGTGTAAGGAAAATAAAACATATTCTGATGCCGAGGCTGAATTCGGCATTTTTACTGTAACTTTGGTACAATAAAGAAATAAAAGCTCAATAAAACACGCTTCTGAAATAGTATAAAAAAATAAAATTAAAAAAAGGGCACAATAAAACACTCCTTTGATATTCAATTTCATTATTTATAATCGCTCTACGTCTGTGCGTTTAAACAACAACTTGCGACACTGATAACTTGTATTTTGCGCTTACCGGTGAGTGTCGGGCTTGACTGCAGACTGATTTATTATCTCCCCCCGCTGACAGCGCTGCCTCCATTCAGTCCGTCCCAGCCTTGTTGTGGATCGGCAACATTTTTTCTTTCATTGGTACTTTTACCCTGCTCTCCTACATATAATATTGAAGGAAGTCTGCCAGCGATATTGACGAGACTGTGAGCCAATGCGCGTCTTCATTAATATGAAATGCGCTTTCTATGCGTACAGTGAGGCCCGGCCTCGCTGTGGGAGGGGCCTACGGAGCTGCGTCCCTCGGTGGGGAGGAGGTTGAGGGGGTACGGGGCGTGGGGCGGTGTGGCTTGAACTGCCTCCAGTCCCAGACACGAGGTAGCATGATGTCACTGGCAGCCAATCAAAGGACTCGCCTGGAAGCTTGAGGAAGAGAAAGCGGCGCGTTGAGGTGCGGCTCGTAAACCCCAAACTCACATCTCAATGGATTGTTACGGTCAGTAACAATTTCTTGTTTCCGCTGTATTTTTATCTGAAAAGAAAGTGAAAGCAACTCAGATACATTTCCATAAGTAATACTTACTTTTTATTAAATTATAGCTCAAAAAATGCATTTTGTGACTACTACACTTTAAAATAATCAAAAAGATGTAGTTAATATATTTTCTTTAAGGGGTAAAAAAATGACTTAAGCTAATTTTATTTTACCATAATTTTCAAGATGACCACATAATGGCCAGCCATGCCTAGCATGACTTAATAACAGCTTCCTCTTCAACAATCTGCCATAAACTCAAGATTTGTGGAAACTCTGACTAATAGTTGTGAACTCTAACCCTAATTTAATCACGAGTTAATTAATATAGTTTTTAAACCAAACTTTGCTTTTAACCTCTTCAATACGTTATTCCTGACCTTTAGGTTGCATTTCTTGATCTTCATGATGCTTTTTTTTCACTAGTGTTCTTTAACACTCCTCTAAAACATTTACAGAGCAGCCGACTTTTTATAGAGCAGGTGGACTCTTTTTAATAACTAGGTGAGTGGGTTTTATTTTTAAGTTTTACTGTAAAGGGGCCACACTTCAGATTTTTATTTATAAATTATGACCTACCTCATGCTGGTCTATAATATAAAATTCTAATGAAAAACTGGGGTTTTGTGGCTGGAAAAAAGCCAAATATGTAGAAGTTCGGGTTATGTGTGAGTGTGAAGTTTATTCTCTGCGCTTTTAAGGTAATGTAATGCAGAAAATAAATTGCAGTTTCCCAGTATCCAGCCATTGTACCTCCTTTCTTTCCAAAAAAAAAAAAAAAAAAAGTTGGAAATGATTTATAAATTGCCTTTTGGCTGTTCAGATGTAAACCACTAATTAGCTTAAATATACATAGTCAGTGCATTTAGTTTGCAAAATGGAAACCACTAAGCTATAAATACCGTACGCACTCACTGGTGTTTACATTTAACATTTTTATTTACAGACTCTTGTCTATGCTGCATGATGGTTCACACTTCCCCAGAATTGTTAATCAGATGGTAAAATAGCTTCAAAAACCTCTGCAACACCCCACTACGCTTTTTTCAAACTGGGTATTTCCATGCTGAACTTGTCAAAAGTAAAAAGAAATCCAAGTTTTTCTGCAGTTTAAGAGGAAACGTAGACACCCAATGAAGGGATCCATTTCAGGGGTATCATGTGGACCATTTTTCTTACTCAACCAAATTAACCCTGGTCTCAAAGGGTCAGAAGGGACCTAAAATAGTTATAAACTCTCACTTATGGTGGTGAACCAGGCAACTTCAAATTGGGACGTCTTGGTTTCAAACTGCTCCTCAGAAGATTTATTTCATTTTCCCATTCGAGTAGCTCTACAGAAGCTAACATTCACCTTTACAGTGATATTATCCTGTATAATGTTATGTCATCACCTCTCTAAACCTTTGTTTAATGGTGCAGCAGAGTTATATAGCGCAGCAAACTGAATGTCCTCTATGCTGTTCGGTCATGGACACGTTGTCTGTTCAATATTTTCCATTTAGTTGAGTCATGAACAGAAATTTGAACCTGCTCCGCTGATTCCTTAAGTTTTGCCGCAGGCATTTTTTAAACCCTGCTGAGCATTTTGTGTTGTGATCTCGATGTAATGCGTGTTTTTAGTGTGAGTAGTCTGAGTTTCTACAGAAAATTTGTTCACACTGATCATGCTTTGACTCCGGTTTAACATATTCCAATTTTATTCAAATTGTGAAACATGTTTTAATGTCTTTCTAATCCACATTTCTAATCAAATTAGTTTTATTTAAATCCAGCTTTTCAAAATAATGCTCCTTTTAGGTCACAGTTCACAAACCTTTTATTGTTTGTAAGAGAAGTAGCAGAAACTAACTTTCAAAACTTAAAGATAAAGATTGCTAAATATGAGTCAAGAATCACATTTCCCAATATTGGGCTTCCATGGACATCACATTTAAAAAAAAATTAAAGGTAAACTTTTTCAGCCCACATTAATGCATCTCAATGATTTAGAATATGTATTGTACAACAATGAAAAGTTGATTTCAGTTCTTCCATTAACCATTAAAAATTGAAACCAAGTAATATATTCCAAGCTTTTATTTGTGTTCATTTTTATAAATATAACAAAAATGAAGTTTATCTTAAAGTTATACCAATAAAACCAGTAAAAACTGCATCAATGCAATGTGGCATACAATTTAATTGTCTGTTATTCTCAATGTTATATTGCAGTCTTTTTTATGTCCTTCGGTGTGTTTATGTCTATAAAACTACAGATTATGGCTCCAAATCAAACCATAGTTATTGTGACTATACATTTAATGGAGTTATAAATCTATATTTCCTTACATTAGACTATAGAGAACATTCTTTCAGTCAAGAAGTATACAAAGAGACCCGTGGTCGGTTGGCAGACAGCTTCTGTGTGAACCTGAAAGCTGGCAGCATGAAAAGACAAAAGATGTGAAAGTCTGGAAGGATGAAGGGGCAAAGAGTTAGCATTTATTTTCTTTACTGTTTGTAGAAAAGGGAAAACATTTCATTGAAATCATAATGCAACAAGTAATGCAACGTTCTTCCTGTACAAGTACAAAAAGTAAGGGTAATTATACTTTTAGGTTGCTGTGTCAATGTGGTTTAGCTATGTATGTCATATTCTCACCTCATTTCCTCATATCCCAATGTCTTATTTTTCACTCTGAGTCACAGTTATATCACAGACAGCAGAAATCTACTTCTTCACCTCACTTACTCATTTGAAAAGTCTGAAAATACCAATTGACTTTTTTTTTGTTCTGAAGTGACAAATACATTGGGCTTTATTATTTGCTGTGATGCCACAGGTCAAAACACGACGAAGCCAAACACAATGCCTCCCTTGTGAAAGACAACACAACTGACCTGTAAGCAGGAGAGGCAGGAAATATTATTAGTTGTAATAAGTAGGTGTCTTTTGGCAACAGCCCTGTCAAGTAAGTGCCAAGTTGGCTGACTGCTCCGCCGCATATGATGGGACCAGTGTTACAGCGAAAGGGTCCCGCTGGACTCAGTCCCCAAAAATAATCCCCAGTAGTCCATTTATCCCCTCTGGCAACCTGAAACCATGCAGGGTATGTGTTATTGCTTCTATTATTAGTTTACTGTGTAGTTATTTATAAATGGACACAGCTGATCGGCGATGATTGGATTTCCAAAGACTCCTGTTACACCATGTGTTAAAGAGAAAGAGAAGAAACAAAAGAGACCTAACTTAGTTTATGATATTATTATGTTGAAGTCAGATAGTATTTTCAATTTATGACTTGTTAGGTATGCCATCGTTTTCTCATGCAATTCCGCTCAATTCTCATCGCCCTTCAGGGCTCTGACTGGGCTTTCTCCCATTGAGATGGATTTCTCTGGTAGAATTTCTGGTAAGCTTCATAGTGTTGAACTGGCACATTGCATGCGTTGTTGCCAAACGTTAACGATTGGGTAAAAGTTTATAACTTCTGCAGAGTCTACTACAGGAAGTAATCGTTTCTCAATAGCCGAGGGTATGGCAGTGGCAAAATTATGTTCTGTAGTTGTTTTACTGTGGGAGGAACTAGTGCAATTCATAAAATAGATGGCATTATCAGGAAAGAATATTAAATTTAGAGAGTCTTAAATGGATATGCGCCGATCGACTTTTTTCACCTAATCAGATATCCGAAGCTTAGAATCAGCCAATACCGATCCGATACAGAAAAAAAGCACTGAACTGACTTAAAACATTTCTTTCGTTTTTTTAAACACAAACATAAATGTACTGGACTACAAATTTATTTTATTACTTTGCAGCCATCCAGCACACTTAAATACACCAGTAGCTTCACAAGCTTGGTTAAACATGTAAAAACAATGCTTCTGTAATTTGTTCAGTCAGTGCAATTAAGCTATATAAAATAAATAATAAAGAAACAGAAACTGACAAAAACAATAGGTTCACTGCCTTGTTCAAACGTAAAAACTACAACAAAACCTTTCAAATAGTTCAGAAATTCTAAATATGTGAAATAATAAATAATAAAGCATGACTTTGCTCAGAGCATAAATCATAGAATTAGACAGGATAGATCTGCCCTTACAGATCGGGTACATTATCATCGATACTCTAGAATGTTTTATAAAAATATATATATAAGGAGCGATACAGATGTTAATATCGGATCAGTGTATCTCTGGTCTAAAAACAGCAGCCAAAGAGGAAAATGAACATGTTGGAATTCAGTCTTAAAAACACATCCGTATAAATGTACAAATAATGGAGGGAAAGTGTTCGGCACAATTCAGGGAGAATTGGTTTGAGATTGTTGTTTCTTTCGTAAAACCTTTCATAAACCCAGAATGATGACTTACATCTAGGGTCACTCAGGCCAATCATAAGTAGATATGGTGATATCCAGAAACGGCAGGAAGTGCGGTAACAACACTGACTTCAGCACTCAGCATAAAACCTGCGTCAGAACTCTTTGCATACTAGTTTCTTTTTTCTTTTCTTTTTTTTAAACAATGACCGTGGACAAAATGAGTGCATTAATCTCATGTTAGGCTGAATAAATGGTTAAAATTCAACAACAATATCCCGCCTTCTTACTTTTCTTGTCTGCAAAATGATCAGTCTTGTTTGAGCTTTTGAATCCTGCAGCTTGCTGCCTGGGCACACAAACCACACATCATCACCACATC